TTTTTTTTTCTATTTGCAGACAATATACACAAAAGTGTGGAAGTCCCTGTGTTTGTGCAAGTTCTTAATGTTAACGATCATGCTCCTGAGTTCTCTCAGTATTATGAGACTTATATTTGTGAAAATGCAGACGCGGGTCAGGTAAGAACCCAGAATAAAGAGCGAGAGTCTAAGCAATCTCTGTCATGCATATATTAAAACTTTGACTTGCTATGTCTCCACTTCTGAAATATTTAAAATAATAATGTTTATATTCATTGTACTTATTGGTCATGCAAACAGTTAAGTGTTCAGCTGCTAACTGAAAGTCTGTCAGTTTGAAGCCACCAGTAGCTGTTTGGGAGAAAGATGTGGCAATCTGCTTCTGTAATGATTGCAGCCAAAAATTACCCCATGAGACATGTCTACTTTGTTGCATGGAGTTTCAATGAATCACAATTAACTTGACTGCACCGTAGCGTAGTGGTTACAAATCGGGCTGCGAACCTTAAGGTCAACGGTTCGAAACTACCAGCTGCTCCGCGGGAGAAAGATGAGGCTTTCTACTCCCGTAAACATTTACACCCTCTGAAACCCTGTACAGGGTCACTATGGGTCGGAACCGACTCGATGGCACTTAACAACAATAACAAAACAGAAATTGTATGTTTTTATGTTGTGGGTTAAATGTAATAACTCAATATCCTTAAAAAAATGGATATGTGTGAACGTATCCTCTCTTCAGTTCCACCACTTACTTATCTGTCCTTTTGTCAAACAGTGTGTCATACTGTTTGCTGCATGTTGTTGTGATGCGGGAAGCTATGCTGCCAATATTTTAAATATTAGCTGTGTCACCTGAGCTGGACACATTTTAGTGGAGTTTCCAAACTAAGACAGACTAGGATGCAGAGGCAGAACACTTCTGAATGGTTGTTGTTGTTGTGACGTACCGTCAAGTTGGTTCCAACCCATAGCGACCCTGTATAGGGTTTCCAAGGAGCAGCTGGTGAGCTTGAACTAGTGACCTTGCAGTTCAAACGGCTTTGCAGTCTGGTGCATTAACCCACAGCCCACAGGACTTTATTATTAGCCATTAAATAATGCCAAACATGATTTGCTACAGTAACAGATGATGAGCTCCTCAAATTGAAAGTCACCAAAAATATGACTGGAAAAGAGCTACCTTCTCAAAGTAGAGTTGACCTTAAGGATGTGGCTGAAGCAAACCTTTCAGGACCTTCAGTTGCTAATGGGGCACAATTCAAAGTGAGAAGAAAGAGCTGAAACATCTCTTAATAATCAGAACATGGAAAGTAAGAAGTATGAATCTAGGAAATTTGGAAGTAGTCAAAAATGAAGTTGAACACATAACGATTGATATCCTGGGCATTTGTGAGCAGAAATGGACTGTCGTTGGTCAATTTGAATCAAACAGTCATACGGTTTGCTGTGCTGGAAATGACAAACTGAAGAGAAATATCATATTCATCGTCTAAAAGAGCAGTTCAAGATATATCTTGCAGTACAATGCTGACTGAGTTAGTATAATATCTAAACAAAGAAGAAATACCAGTTAAAATCATTATTATTCAAATTCACACGCAAACCACTAAAGCCAGTGATGATGAAATTAAAGAAATCTATCAAATTCTTTAGGCTGTAATTAATCAAATATGGCATTAATGAACACCCCATAATAGGGACTGAGAAGTGGGACTTGATGGTGAATTAGGGAGAAATGCGGTGCAGACCTCTGCCAGCAATAACACAGAATACTGGACAAAGCAGGTTCAGGGCACAGTCCCAGAACACTGACCTACATATAAAGGAATATTTAGAAAGTTTGAGGGCTTATTGTTGTTGTTGTTGTTAGGTGCCATCAAGTCGGCACCAACTCATACCAACCTTATGCATAGCAGAACGAAACAATGTCCGATCCTGGGCCTACCTCCCTACAGTTGGCACACTTGAGTCCATCGATGCTGCCACCTGGCAATCCATCTCGTTGGGGATCTTCCTCTTTTTCTCTGACACCTCCGTGTTACCAAACATGATATTCTTCTCCAGCAATTGTTCCCTCCTGATAATATGTCCAAAGTATGAGAGACAAAGTTTGGCCATCTTGGCCTCTA